TTCTCATCCCTTGAAACCATGAGAAATTTTAGTATGTACAGCAACACATGGCAAACTGTTACTTAGATGCCACTGTACGAGGGTATAAACCCTCTACTATGCCCTCGGGAAACATCTCCATCCCCCGTTCTTTTTTGCAAAAAGTGTAAATGTCACTGATTTCTATGTTATTTTTGAAAAATGCTTTTCTTAGGCTTGCTGAAAGATGCACCTTCTTTCATTCTGGGAAAAATGAAAAAGCATCCGTACTTAAGTAGTGAAACTGTACTGTAGCCTCTAAATACTTGCAAATAAGTTTTAAACATCCAAAACATACACATCCAAATAGTTTTACAAGAGTTTTACAAAGATAAATTTAAGGGTCCTACCCATTAAATACCATCTTAATGCACACAAAATTTCTGTTTACGTTCTCCTGCATTAAAAGTTTATTTACACATAACTGTAATTTTTCAAAGCATCTGATGCTGACTTTTTAATTCATACTAACACACTGGAGAAAAAAGGCTCCTTTGTGTAAAGCTTTCTGTATATGAAAAAAATGGAGAAGAATAGAAAAAGACGATGTGCTACACAAATCCACCTGTTTTGGCTATTTTGAATATTTCAATTTAAAATATGTTCATATTACAATTACTTGTAAGCTAATTCACATGATCATAAACTAACTTAAATAACTTAAGTAGGCAATTCTAAAATTTAACTATGCAAAGAATTTCCAGTAAGCTGAAGCACTCCCAGCTTTTACACATCTCAGAAACAACAACAGAAACAAAAGGAGCAGTTGCCCTCCACCGCAGAGTTTTCGCTTTTACAGCACAACTCTCCATCTGCAACCAGCTGACACTTTATTTCACACTAAGCTGTTCTCTTGCTGGGGCTTCTACAAGACTAACATTTCTTAAACTGGAAGATGCACTTTTTTTAGAGGTGACAGGACGCATATTCAAGAGAAGGGAGCTCAGGAGCAGAAAACTGAAACAGCACACGAGGTCTGCTGGGAGACAGGACTGTTGAACACAGTGGAGGATGACAGGGACAGGGAATACACCTGCAATGAGAAGCCCACTGGCCAGCCAGTCCAGTTAGCCAAAGCAAAATAAAACCCCATTGAGTTGAGGCCACGCCACAAATTCACTCAGCCCACTATCAATTAGCACGGGAGCAGCACCAAAATGTGGCTGAAGCAGTGGCTCCCCAAGACACCCAGGGTTTTTCTCGGAGAAGCTCCCTACAACCTACTCATCCTGTACTTCTCTCAGATCTCCAGCAAACAGTTGCACTCACTTGGGAACATCTGAGTAGCAGCAGGTGCTATTTAAGGAGAATGTGTACATTAATAGAGCTAGAGATGGAGAGAGGATCAGGTGTTCAGTGATGAGATGGGAAGGTTCCTCCACTGAACAAATAGGCAGGCACCACGGAGTGACTACTCCCAATCATTCCCATTTACTGTACATTATAGGAAACGGATGTTAGTAGCAAATGGATGGAACACATAGAAAGAACAGCTGAACTGTGAGATGTTTGTGTGTGGATTCAATTATAAAGCAGTCTGAACAGAAACCTTGCCCACGCTCCAAGACAGTGAGCCCAAATGTAATCCTCTGGAGGTCAAATGGGCATCAAAAGAATCATAGAATCATGGAATGGTTAGGGTTGGAAGGGACCTTAAAGATCATCTCGTTCCAACCCCCCTGCCATGGGCAGGGACACCTTGCACTAGACCAGGTTGCTCAAAGCCTCATCCAGCCTGGCCTTGAAGACAGCCAGGGAGGGGGCACCCACAGCTTCTCTGGGCAACCTGTTCCAGGGCCTCACCACCCTCTCTGTGAAGAATTTCTTCCTGACATCTAATCTAAACCTCCCTGATTTCAATTTATACCCATTACCCCTTGTCCTATCCCTACAGGCTCTTGTAAAAAGTCCTCTCCCAGTACCCTTGTAGGCCCCCTTCAGATACTGGAAAGCTGCAATGAGGTCTCCTCGGAGCCTCCTCTTCTCCAGGCTGAACAAGCCCAGTTCTCGCAGCTTTCGTCATAGGAGAGGTGCTCCAGAAGAAAAAACTATGATAAAAATTGTACTATAAAGGTTTGTAATGATTAAATTGTTTTTTGTTTGGGTTTCTTTTTTTCATTTTGAAAGCAGAACCAAGGTTTCACATCCTATTAACAGATCTGCAAACTCCAACACACTGAGTTATATTTCATAGACTCTTAACCCTAGTGATGAATCACGCAGGAGTTATGCAACATTAATAGAACTTCTGCTTTCTTTCCTCCTCTTTTAAGCCTAGAAAGTGATGTACACATACACGAAGAATGTTAAGGCTGAAATGTGAACGTAGTCAACATAGAGAAGACCTACTTAGTCCTGTAGAAAGGCCTTAAGTTACATTCTGAACATAGAAATGCATTTCATAACAGAAAATATCTCCATCTCCTGGCTCTGTTGCTTTCTTATTCATAATTTTAGACTGAGACATGAAAACCTGAAATAATGAAAGCATGCGATCATGCCACATTTTTCTAATGGACTGTAAAAATATAAGCACTAGAGAATTCTTCAAGAGAAGAGTTTAGTGTGAATTAAAGTGTCAGCTGGTTGCAGATGGAAAGTTGTGCTGTAAAAGCAAAATCAATATATTAACTAAATTTGCGTATTTGGAGGATTTTACAGATGTGCTATTCCAAGAGAAGTAAATTCCAGCTATCTACATCTGAAGGAAGCCCTAGGAATACTTAAGATGGTGGAAGAGAAAGCAGGAATAGATTGCCAAGTCTCTAATTAGAGAATCTCTACAAAGCTGTGCAACAGGCAGTTCCACGGGAGGAGAAAGGGAAACACAGGTCAGTCTCTCCTCAGCCCTTCATTAACAAAGGTAGGAGACACCAGAATCCATTCCTGAACTCTCTTCTCTCTTGCACCTTGCAAGAAAATAGGAAATGAACAGCAGATGTTCTGTACAAAAATGCTAGTTCATATCATAAAGGACAGAAAGATGACAAGCTATTAGCTGTCATATTTTCAAAATACATATAAACCCCATAATTTAGCCAAATTAAAAGCTCCCTTCCACAAACAGAAAGTTTAGTACTAAAAATGAAACATATCGGATTCAGCCACAGACACACGCAAACACAACTTCATGCTTCCCAAGAAAGGTGCATCCTCACTAAAGCAGATGCTAGACTCAGCATGTATTATGCACCAAATAAAAATCTAATTTCTAAACTCTGGTAATTTGTTGTATAGTCCTTTCATCTTCATCCAGTTTTGCCTCAGCTGCAAATTCTGCTGTCAGTTTTGTAAATTATTTGCAGCTGAGCTCCTGGAGAAGCAGTTTGAAGAAGATCTGAACTCTATGGGCCTCGTCAGATATAAATATTGCTCCATTCAGGTCAGGTCATCCTTCTCCGCTGTTATGTGGAAGTTTGTTTCAACAGCCTGTCCTCAAAACTCCTTGCACCCTGAAAACATTGCTCTTCCAACAGCTTAGATGCCCCATATCTCACAGGATTATACTCCAACGACATCCTTTCTTTAAGGATATCTATAAAAAATATGCAGACAGGTCCTGCCCTAGTCTGAGAGAATAAAAACAGATGAAAGTCTTCAATGATATTAGAGATTTCAGATATTCAAGTCAATAGTGAAAAAGTGTCTTGTGGACAAGGGACATCAACTCTTGCTTCCCTGAACATCTGCCTACATTAGGCTGCAATGCCAAACCAAGAATAGTTATTCAACTATTTCCTAATGTGGAAAAAAGGCAGGTGTTCTACCTCTGCTAAGCTGAAGAAAGGCTTATTTTATCTCAGTTTGTATGGAAATTCTTGTCATAGTATAGTCAATAAGTAAACACTTTCAGCATGCATGCAAGGGAGATTGCAGCATCAAACATCCGCACAGTGTAGAAAGTCAGATTGCAGAAGTTAGCGGTCACACAGTGTTCCAGTTACAAAAAAAGACATACAATGCACTTCACTCTATGAACACCCAAAAAAAATTTTCCCAGTGAAAACGATATACAAAAGTCTCCAGACTTTTCCCTTTCCTTTAAGATTCAAGCAATTAAACCTCTCAAACTCACAGAACAGAACATCAATAAACAATCCCCTAAACGTACAATTTCCAATTTTCACCACTGAAATTAGTATAGTAACATAATTACATTATAAAATATTGCTTTATATTTTGTCCAAGCCTTACCCTGGATCAGACATCACACGGAGTTTAGCAGAATTAATGAAGTTTGTGTTTACCCGAAGAGTCTTTAGAAAGACACTATTACCTTCTTTACTGCAAGAACAGCATGCTGAACAACATACACCAGACATCTTCTCAAATCAATCATTATGTCAGGATAAAACAAGAAAACCTCTGGAAAATTTGATTTTAGTATATCTTAAGTGGCCCTCAACAGGCTTCAAGAGTAACAACAAAACCACTCCTGGAATTTAGCACAGAGTAGGCTTGAACTAATACCATTACAGGCATCTAACTTCAATTGTAAGATTTTGCTCCACAGCCAAAATAATTAGCAAAAGTCACCACTTTATATCACAACTGAAAATCAAAAGTTTCAAGACTGCAAATACAATTGCAAAATTAATCCCCTACACATAGACTTACCCTGGGATAATGTTTCAGGCTATTAATAAAATGTAAATTTGAATTTTCTCCCCATGCTTCCTCCCATAACAACCTTGCTACAAAAGAAAATAATTTAAAAAAATCATTTGACATTTGTGAACAGTCTCAGATGTTTACATCTTACAGCTACCTAAGATACAATGTAAAAAAGCTGGAAAGAGAAAATGCAATGCACAAATAGTTATACACACAGCACACTTCACAACCAACACACAATAGAAAGGCAGTCTCTCTCACCAGATGTCCCAGAGGCAATCAAAATGAATGCCATCTGCTTCTAGTGTCCCTCTAACAGTGTATTAGCAAAATACATGTATTTGAAAAAATAGAGGAAAAAGCCTTACTCTGCTATATCAAGATATCCACAGGAAGCAGCTGCATGTAGAGGTATCCAGCCTTCATTATCTGGTTGATTAATATTTGCTCCATTTTCCACCAGAAATTTCACCATATCTACGTTATCATCTATACAAGCCTATAAAGAAAGAAAGATTTAAGAAATAAGTTCAGATTAAAGCTGTTCTACAATACCATGCATCTTAAAGCAACATCCTCAGAAAAAAAGGTAAGTGTATTCAGACTGATGAGGAAGTAGGGTTTATTTGCTGGGGTTTGACAGAAGACGGAGAATTTGAGAGAAAAGCAGCAGGTGTTACAGATTTTTCAAAAAATCCTTAAATAAACCAATTCAAACAGAGTTTAACAAAGTGAACGAATATGAATACCTCAGGTAAATTTGTTCCACGTTTTTGAGAAGCCATTTACAGTCCCCAGTGCAGCCTTGTTGTTCAGTACAAAGTGGTTCCCAGGCCCTTGCTCCGTCCCAGGCCCAGCTTAATCGCTTGAGTGAATATTACACGTGAGTAAGCAGCTACACCACGAAGTTGTGACCAAGAGATGGGATGCAGTTCAGAAAACAGTACCACAACATGGTTTTGATTAGAATGCAGTCAAGACGAAGGAGCATGGAAGGGGATGCTACGTTGAATTTCAACACTCCCCTGCTTTTTTCTACTGCAGCATATTCTATACCACCACACATCCTTTAACAGTCCATTAATCACACTATTTATAAACTTAGTTGAGCATCAATTTGGCACAATGTAAAGATTTTTTTTGTGCACATCTCTTAATTATCAAGCATATATTGTTGCTCAGCTGCAGAACTACTGCTGTTCTCCAGATCTCCATTTTCACTGGCTCGTATTTTGCCTTTCTTCTCTGTGTTTGAGTATTTCTCTCACAGGGTGCTCAGTGAGTTTTCTTGCCAACTTCCATACTGCTGCCCTTAAAAGGGCAGAGCAACGGAGAGAAAAGTCCCTCTGCGTTTCAGGACAGCAAGGACTCAAAACAGCTAGACCCCGAAAGACTGGTATTAATCTTTTATCTTAATACATCAACAATACTACATAACCACAAATCTGAAATGAGAACTTTTACTGCTGGAGTGCTAAACCCTTCTAGAGAATTATGCCTCTAATTAAATGTAATTAAGGTATAAACCTTACTTTTCAGTATACTTCTACAGCAATAAAAACTGAAAATCATACACTGCTTTATTATGGCAAAGAATCTCAGGTTTCCTTATTTAAGCAATTGTGCCATCCAAGATGAATCCCAAAGCTTCCCTCCATTCTGTAATGCTGAGGCAACAGCTACAATGTGAGGGAGATGAGTTGCTGCCCCGTTTAACCAGTCAAACACAAAAGAGCAACAAATGATCCCTCTTTGACCACATTTGCTTTAGCTAGGTATGAACACTGTTTGGAATGTAACAGAACTGTTTTAACAGCCAGTCTCATCTCAGCTTGTTCACCCATAAACTTGCAGCTAGGCTGCAGGACACCGCTTGCATTATTTGTTTTTCAGTTAAAACCAAAAACATGTTCTTGAGTGAAAACATTCATAAACCTCCCTACTTTACAGTTATTCTTGAAAACTGCCTTCCCAGAGGATTTGTTGTATTACCTTTTTAGTTATATCCATCCTTAAAATCAGCAATTATTTTTATGAAATAATTTATGAACATACTCCAACAATAAAGACTACAAATTCCTCAAACATATTCTCTTCAGTTTCTTCCACTTATCAGTATACAATGTTTATATGCTATCAACAAGCTCTGAAAGTAAAGAATCACCCCTCTTTCCATGGCATTTTGTTACTGAAATGAAAAGGAACTAAGCGCCAGACATCAGACTCACGAGTTCAGGGGGAAAACAAATTCAGCGAACACAAATGCTTGCACTTAACAAAAACATTAACCTAGCTGTATTTCACACACACCATACATCCACTTCTACTGGATACGCAATGTGCCTGACCACTGATATCCTTTGTATATCACAATATTCACCATTTATTATAAGGAAAAGAGATTTATATCACAAAGCTTTAAAACTGCCTACGCATTTTTAAATATAGATCTTTAATATTACATTTCAATATGCTGCATACTCATGTATCTTAAAAAGCTCTAAAATTCATAATCTGTGAAAAACAGATATCTTAAAATTGATTAGCACTATTAAAAAAAAAAAATAAATAAAGGCCAGATCATCTGGTTGTGACAAAACCCAACACAGAACAATCCTTGCCCGTTTTTCAAGTATACATAAGAAAAACTGGCAAGACATGCTCATAAAAATACCGTTGCTAAGTGAATCAAAAGCTTACATATGCAGCACATTAAAAGACATATGACTAAGTGGCTAAAAATATTTGACCAAATTTGGGCAGTTTATTGTGCCATACATGGCAAGAATCAGGAGAGCTCAAATACACTTCTTATGTATTATCAGAGATTGCACGTTCTTGACAAGCAAAGATAAACAATCTGTGAGATTATATATATTAGGATCATAAGAGAGTAACTATTAATATGATAAAAGAATTTACTTGCATATGCAAATAGGAAAGTACTGACATTACAAGTGATGGCATTTCTGAGGTTTAAATAATGTTCTTCATAACAATTATACAATCTGAACAACTGTTCTAAGAATTTCATTGTGGGACAACAGGAGCCACAGAAGCTGAAGTTTATGAAATGACACAGTCGAGTAATTTTAAAAAAAAGACCTTTTAGCTTCCTTAAGCAAAGATTACTTAAAAATGAGCCTTGTACCTGAAATAATTTATAGAACACCATTGTGGCCTCCAAGAAGGTTACTACCTATCTTAAGGTGAAAAAAAGCAAATGTCATGGATCATATTGCTAAGAAACATGTATATAATACATCCTATTTCTCCTTGACCCCTTTTTTCCCTTAACAGCACCGCAGGCATTTGACAGACCCAATCACTCTCAGCACTTTTCCATACAAGAGACACCCCTGATGATATGCAGGTACCTTAAGTCAAAAAGCCAAGAAACAAGTGTTATAAAAGAAATTTTATCCCAACGCTTTTCCATTTCTGCTTCGATTGTCATGGCACTACCTTCACAGTCACTTCTAAAAGCAGCATTTATCAAGTGCCAGAGGCGCCTCTGTTTTTAGACTGACATCTCAACCCCAAAAGGAAAGCTTGTCAGAACAGCATGATAAACTTAAAGCAACAGCCTCCAAAAAGTCTGCCTTTCTAGATCTCAGCCTGAAAGTTATTACAAAGGAAAAAGGCAAGGGTACATGCAAGACGTAAATGGCAGGAGTTCCACTGACATTACGGTGACTCAAAAAGACAAATTCCCACGATGACTTCTGTTCCTGTCTCTGCACAGAGGATACATAGCGACAGGCCCCCCTCTTCCTCTGCTACTATCCTTCTAGGATTAATCTCAGTTCATGGCATTCATCTCCCCATCCTCAGTCTCTCCCTTCATGGTCACGTGTTCCCACCTAGAGCCTCAGTAACCACTTAGTGAAACAACAGGCCGTCTTAAGCTCTTTCTAAGTGTTTGCTAACCCACCGAATCTGCAGAGCACACACACCAGCCAGCTCCTGGGAAAGCAGAAGAGCATGGGAGCTCATGCTCAAGCTTCCCTTCATCCCATGCACTGTCTCTCCGCCCCATTCCCAGCCTCCACACACTGGTAGAAAGGCAGAATTTCTACATGAAGTACTCACTACCCTGCCAAATTCCATGGAAGTTAGCCAACAGGCCCCAAACAGAACAACAGCTGGACACTGCAACCATATAAACCTCGCTTCCTTTGGGAACTAATTTAGAATCTAGGCTAATTAGTCAAAAAAGGAAGCAAAACAAAGCAAAATTGATAATACAAAGTCAGGTTACCTTTTCTGATAAGAACAGAGATGAAATCTCAAAGGAAGTATATTAAGGCCCTGGAAAGAAAACCGCTTTCTATTTGCACAACCACCTGAAACCTGGGCTGCAACAACCAGCGAAGAGCAACAGCACCCGGTTCCCACACAGACCAATCCCAGGTAGGTCCAACTGGTCCTGGAACCAACATGCCGATAGTAAGTGAAACAGCATTTTAAACTTCTCCCAGAAGGACTTTCTGATCTCTCAAGAAGGGGATAAGCACGTCTCTGCTGCACATGCTAGATTTGAACTGTATTCACCGTGATTTCGTATCCCAGTGCAAGTGGCATGTGTTCTAGCTGGCTGTCAGTATCAGGTGCTAAATGCATAGGTGAAGGGTAGACCTGAGTTAGTAAGTAACCTTAAAAATAGAGAGATTTAAAAGAGATATCTAGAGTGCTTGGTCCCCCAGTGAGTAACCACCCAAAGAATTCAGCAGACAGTACTCCTCCCCAAAAGACAGGAAAAACAAGTCTGTATTTAAAAAAAATCAGAAATTTTGTAGGGAA